TGAGGCTACTGTAAAATTTTCATAGCTATAGCTATCACCAATTTCCCATAAAATTTCTACAAATATTAATCTACATAATATTAAGCTCTCTAGTTTGGATTTATGAGCCCATTACTATCACAGCTAACTATAAACTAACTACACTAACAGATAGATGTTATTTTTATAAACCTAACAAACTTAGTTTCACTATTTTATGACATCTACAAGATTTACTACAATTTATCAAAGTTCAGCTAGAAACTTTATTAAATAAACATTTACAATCTACTGGAAATTGGAAAACGCAATTCACAGCGCGGCCCAACCCGCACGCGGCTCGGCCCAGCAAAAGCAGGCGCACGCCGACGACGCAGCAAGGCAAAGGGGGTAGAAGCCTTCAGCGGGTTCTGCCTTGGCAGCCAGTGGCAAGCCAAAGAACGGGGTACTTGACGCGAAGGCAGCAATGGCCGAGGAGGACGGGCAGCGGCCCATGGCAGAGGCAAGCGAGCCGAAGCGCCATCGAGAGAGAGGACCGCGAGCGCGGCGCCATCGCGAGCGAGCCCAAAGGGCGCGCAGCATGGCGCCATCGCGAAGCTAGCCCAAAGTAAAGCAGAGCGAGCGGTGGCGTATTTCTAATGTATTCACGGATTTATTTTTTCACAAGAAAATGGCCCTATAACATGTGTGACGCAGGGATGACGCAGAGATGACGTCAACAAGCTAAGAGCAACAGTACGCACCACCGGCTGCTCTGCTTGCTCTGCTCGCCTGCTCGAGTGAGGATCCGGTTCACGTCGGCCACCGAGAGGACGTCCTCGGTGATCTGCAGCACCGTCAGCGGAGCCACTGCACGGACGAGGAAGACGAGTCAAGGAGAGGCAATCACCGTGCCCGATTGAAACAAACGAGCAAGAGCAGCGCCCCGCCCAAGAACTCTGTCTCGCAGACCATGGCAGCCCGCCGAGGGGGGAATTCTCCCCATTACCTCACCGTAGGACGTAAACCCGTCGAGATGACTCCAATAGGAAGCTAACCACTCTAGCTGTTCAGGCACACAGTGAATTGGAAAGGGATGGACTGCACCTCGGCCAATTTGGTGAGCGACGGTGTTCGGCTAAATGGACTCGACGGCGGGGAAAACTCCAACTGAGGCCCCCGACAATGTGAGACTGCAACAGCAGCGGGCTTGGCATGACGCAGGACACCATCGCGACCCTCAGACGTGCGCACGAGTTCGGAATTCCAGCACGCGACCGAAGCTCCGCGACACGGCGACTGTGAAACAAGGAAGTTAGGCTCGGTGCTGAGCGTGGCAGCAGACACGGTCGTGAAGGCGCAGTGAGGCAGTCATCCCACGCGCATGCAGCTGCGCTACGTCAACGGGAACAGTGAAGGCCGTGCAGGCGGTGCGCGTGAGCGCTCGGGAGAGTGGCGACATTGGTTAGGATGAGCTAAACATGCAAGCAGGCGCGGCGGTGGCAGTACCACAGACGGATGTGACGGAGGAAGCAGCCTTCAGGTCCGATGGACCCCAGTGTGCAGCGTGTGTGCATGCGAGTCGAAAGCCCGGCGCGCAACAGCGGAGCGAACCGAGCGGCAGTAATGGCCGGACGGCCAGCGAGCGTAGTGGCGGAGCATGGAGCCAAACAAAGCAGGGGCCAGTCAAGCTACAAGCATACAACTTTGAGAGCATTAGCTTACATCAAGCATAACCGACTGATGTAGGCTTAGACATTTTACAGTGGATGCATGTTAACTTTCCTACTGGGTGTCGATCCGCGAGCTAATTCAGAGTTGCGATGGCAGTGTGGATGAAGGGGGCGATTGCCTAGCCGCCTCCGCGGCCTCCGCCAAAGGAGCGAAGCGGCGACATTGGGTGGGTAGTGCCTGGACGGCGCCGCGGCATGCACGCAGCTGCGTACCAAGGAGCAGCGATGGGGGCGTGGTGGCGGCGGCAGCGGCTGGCTGGCGGCGAACCGGCAGCCGTGCCGGCCGAAAGGAGGTGGTGACCGCGCCCAGAGATGGACAATGTGCCATGCATGCTTTTTAAAGTGGCTCAAAAACTCGAACCCGATGCTCCAAACGCCAAACTAGTTGTTCTATGCTCCAGAGGGTATATAGGGCTATCAAACTAATCTAAAACATCTCGCCACTTCTTAAGCCGATCCTCTCCTAAAAATGTCCGAACTATGCCTCGTCGACACACCCTCCGACTTAAGAAACGACTAAGTCCTTCGTTCAGATTCGCGTCACTTTCGGTTTCCAAGCTGCCCACTAAGCTAGCTAGTGACTCTCGATCCCGACCGCAAGTAATTCCCCGTCTAAGCGATACAACGTGACATACCATGTAACATTCGGTTCACGTTTCAAATGAGCGTTTCAATTTCCAAAATTGATTTATACCCTAGATTACACACATTCACATACAAGTAAGATGCTCATGCAGTGTTTTGCAAAAACAGTACAATGTAACACCAAATGTGTTACAGGGCGGGGGCGCGGATGGGGTGCACGCGAGTGTCGGGGAGGTGGCGGCGAGGAGGACGGCGGCGGAGGCGGCCATGCGGAGGGAGGAGAGGATGGGGTGTGCAGAACTGGCGGTGGCTTTGACGGTGGTGGGGAGAAAGGAGCGGTGCCGGGATGAGCCGACTAAGTAGATGGGGTTGCGGAGGGAAGAGGCGGCGGCAGCCGTGGGAGCAAGATAGGCCATGGCGGCGGCTAGGGTTTGCGGGGTGGAGATTGCCAAGGTCTTTGAGACTGGAAGCAGCGGGGCGGCAGCGGAGTTTGGTGAGGCGTGAAGAAAAGAGCTAGAACTTCGGTTGGTTTGGTGAATTGGTGGTGGGTGGCATTTGCGTCTCTGACTCGTGGGGCCCGTCGGTCTGCCTAATGAGACAGTGGCGGTGACTGGCGCGGCATCCTCCCAACTATAAAGGTGTGTTTGGTTCAAGAGATGTGGTGGTCATCATCTTCTCACTCCTTACTTTTTTATTTGGTTTTTAGAATATCATTCCTCACAAGCTAATAACTAGTATATGCACGAGGAATGAGTTGGTTTCACCAAATTTCATGGGATAAACTCATGATGCATCACCTGATGATACATAGGGTGACTCCACAAACCAAACACACCAAAGACCAAACACACCAAAGTTCCCTTAAGATATTTCGCTGAAAATAAATGTATTATCAATGTGCTAGATGTTGAGGTACTCCCTTTTATCTCTTTTTATTTGTCAGTCTTACTTTCCGACAAATGAAGCATACTTAATTTTAACAAAATATATAAATAAAATATTAATATTTATAGTACATAATTAGTATCATTGATATGTCGTTGAATTTATTTTCATAATAAATTATTTAGATGTAAAAATATTGCTAAAATTTTCTGTAAACTTAGACAAACTTGAAAAAATTTGGCTGACACTAATCTCATGGCGACACTTGAATAGGATGGAGGAAGTACAGTTCTATATTTAGTCAAAGATAGACTATGTTGACTTAAAGCAAAACTTGATCTATAATTTAAAACGGAGAAAATAATACAGTTACAGTCCACATTCACACGATCCCTTATCTTCGTAACAAGAAAATGCTGTTGAATTGACTCAAAAGCTCCACTTTTCAGTCATTTCTTTCAGGCCTTTTCGGATTAAAAAAACTCCCAACGTCCACACGATGAGGATCACTAGAGTGTTGAAGCCCTTGTACTGACTACCAAGGTATTCGGCGCTCATCGTGCTGCACGTCGCCACCACTCCTGGAAAACCTCGTCCACTAGTCTCGGGCCAAGCTCCTGCAGCCCGACTAGGGCTAGATATCGAGCTCGGCTCGTCCAGCTCAAGCTGCCTAGTCAGGCTAACGAGCAAGCTCGGTCCAGATGGTTAATATTACGAGCTAGAAGCGTAACTCAGCTCGGTTCGTTAACGAGCTTGAGTTGGCTCGTTTAGCTCGCGGGCTATAAAAAAAATAGGACACACATGTTTATAATGTTTATGCTACATTAATTTCAGAAGGTCACATCCGCTATTATGTAACCATACATGATTAATACACATCAGGTTCATCAAAAGTATCAACCATACAACATAGTTGGTCCATCCATAATCCATGCAGTTCTAGCATACTTATTAGTTGCTTGCCACCACAGACTTAGGAAAGTCCACAAATTCAATATCAGCATCATCATCTTCTCCCTAGAAAATAATCCATAAATCAACATTTAAGTAATACGACAATTATAAAATCAAAATCCATATGAAACAACTTAAAATAAGGATTACGTACCAATAAAATAGGTACATTTTTTGGTCAGCATCATCGTCTTTTAGATTCATAGTCGTGGGTTGATAGGCCTCAGCTCGTGAACAGTGAGCTAGACTTCCAGTTCAGCTCGTAAAAAAATTAAAATGAGCCAAATCGAGCCAGCCACAAGTCAAACGAGTTTGCGAGCCACGAATATTTTGTCCAGACCTAAGCCCGACTTTACCCAAACCTATAGGGCCGCATGCCCGCATGTGGGGAGGATACGCTAGACCGTCTCATCATCCTGGTCAGTGGTCACACATGAGGTATCTCGCCGGGTGTCATAGTCCTCTGCATGCTAGCCAGTCGGCCGTCCATCACCGGTTATGCGTGCCAGGAAAAACTTGCAGCGAAGTGGTGCCCAAGATTTTCACAAGCGCTTGCAAGGTTCGAAACTGACAGCCCACGTGAAGAAGCGTTTTGTAAGCTGACAGGGTAACTCGCTGTTAAACTCATCTCCAGAAAAACTTGTTCAACTTTTCATGGAGTTCAATTTTACGACGGTGCTTTCCTTCAATATGCTCAATTTCAATAACACTAAGGAACACTAAATTTCATAAAATTAGTACATTGAACTAACAGGGTTAGCTATAGCTGAGCTACAGAAAATATTTGGATGCCTAACTATACAAATGTTATACATAGGGTCTTGCAGTTGATTTTGCATAGCTCGACAGCAGTCACCATTTTCAGCTCAGAAGAGTGCCTTATCTCTAGCCGCTGCTGAGGGGGTGATACTGAGATAGCCGTAGTTTTGCAGGAATCCTCCTCAGAATGTACAAGACAAGAGATGAAGGGAGAATTTCGACAAGCTGCAGAAAAGAAGATGATAGGAATAGTGGAACCAGAATTAGTAGGCATCAATTTGGAGTTGCCAAACTCAGAACACATAACTTCATGCTTTGCAGAATTCACACGTACCAGGTAATAGAAGAAATTCAGAATTGGATGGTCAAGAACATCGAGGTCAGCTTCTTTGTTAAATGCATTGAAACACATCTGCAAAGCAAATACAGTGCAAATTTCATAAATGAACTGTGAGAGCTAAACCTGCACAACTTCCAGTGGACAAAAATCCTTACCATTATGCATCGTGCCAAGAAACAGCAGAAACATATGCTGGCAACTCTGCCGACCTCTCTCAGCTTTTGTTGCCTCCCTTTTGACTCAATAGGAAAATATTTCAGCATGATGAAAAGCCTGCCCAACAAATCAGAATCGTATAAGTGCACATTTGAATGCAGTGCGGTAGCTAGATCAAACCCTGAACTTAATGGCTATCACTAAGTACTGGTACAATTTCTTAGATTTATACTTCCGAGGTACATGTTTTGAAGCCAATCTAGGTAGTCTAATTGACTAACAACAAAACAAAATAAAAAATCCATGTATCGCTGTTCAGAAATTTAAAGAACATTGAGTAGTATTCATGATCTTGCCTTCCTCCATAGAGCAGAAAACCCAAGGCAGTGAAAAAGGAAAGTCCTGCAATGAATAACTTAGAAATGACTAGCATAGTGTGATTTGGATTCCACCACAGACACAGCCACAGAAAACCCTGAAGAGAGAATACTTTTATCAGAATGTTATGTATAGCATAACAGGTGGGTGAATATAAACATCTGAACAATTGAAATAAGAAGATTTGTGTTGAAGACAAACACGAGCAACTCTTTAATACAAAACTAAGCAGTCGTCCGTCACAAAAAGCAACCAAAATTTGTCAAATAAAGATTCTTCCTTTTACATATTTGTGTTAGTAAGCATCTCTATTTTGACATTAGAGTTTTAAACATCAGAGATATTCTTTCGCATTATGCCAAATGTCATGAATTCTACAGTTCTAGTTGGCTTCTAATAATGTGGAATAGCATCAAAATACAATGGAAATGTTATTTGCAATTTTATTCAGCACACAGCCACAGACAGTTGAAGCAAAATTTATACAAATTGAATTAGCACTAGACTTACAAAGATCCTGCTTTACCTGCAATGCATAAACGACATAATTAATGATGTAGAAACCAGATCGAAGTCGATCAGTCATTAGTCCACGTGCTTGGTAAAGTATCTCAGCCCAGAAAAGTGCTAACAATGCATAGGTAGTGAAGAATGCAAGCCCAGGAAGGTCAAGAATAACATGCTGAAATATCTGGAACAGAAATAATGAACATGAGCAATTCAAGTCAGGTCGGCCAAATCAAAATTATCATATCATTCACATTACAGGACTAAGTTAAGGCATCCAAACCGGAGGGTTCACTTGTTGCACTTGGCGACGGAAAGCAAAGATAGAGCACCTGGCTGCATATTTGCAATACAACAAGATTAGCAGTAAACAATTGACAGCTGTTGATGAAGGGGAGCATGTAATGTTTTTCTCCAACAAAGATTGAACTGTATTTTTTGAACGTAACAAAGATTGAACTGCATACCCCCATTGACCACGAAATTCAGGAACTGGAAGACCTTTTGGGTTGTCCATCCATATTCAGGAACTCTGCGCTGTATCCTGGCAACTTGGAACTGCATGGTACATTATAATCATTTTTTCTTCTGTTTTTCAAATAATTTATTATTTAAACAGCAAGCATTGCATGTCTTACTAATGCTCTTACTTAATACAAATATTCAGATGCTATGCTATGCACACATTCTTATCCAGCACTATCTATCGGGTGAGATTTCGATGTATCAGAAAGATGCAAGCAACCTCAACTCCTCAAGTCCTTGTCCAACTATCTATCTCTATTTCAAATTGTGGTTTTCATCTTGATTAACCCAAACGTGTATATATATTCGTCCTGGTTATCATCTTTCACAAGGTTCGGATGCAATACGTTATTGGTAATTTATTATCCTGATTCCTCAAGGCACAAAGCAAACAAGCATCTCTTTTATTCCCAACTAAAAGTTGCTGGTCGTGATATGGCAAATTCATGATCCTCATGTCAAATAGGTACTAAAAACAAGTATTTATTCTCCTGCAATGACATCAAGGCACCAACGGCACACATGCTTATTCCTTCGACGGTATCACGCCAGAGTAAATAATTCAGCACAGAACACCATGAAAGCACGCACCTTTCCCTACTAGTGGCGTCCATATAGAGCTGCATTAACAGAAGGAGAGGTGACGCTTACGAATGAGGCGGCGGCGATGACGCCGTAGAGGACGGCGAGGGCGTAGAAGATCCCGTCCTGCCACGCCGGCGAGCCGTTCACGCGCTCCCACCAGTCTGCGACGGCCGCCGGCAGGGGCGCCGCCGCCGCCGCCATGGCCCCCCGGCGCGCAGAGGGATCCTTTCGAAAAGAACAGGACAGGACAAGACCAAAAGGCGCCCTCTCTCCGACAGGAAACTCGTGGGTGTGCTGAGCTCGTGGGATCCGGCGGCGACGGACGGCGTGGATTTATACGGCCGGGTCGTGTCGCTTTCGTCGCTGTAACAGAGGAGCGCAGGTTGGTGTCCGGCTGTGTTGGGTACGGGCCGCTCGCGCTATGTTTGTTATATATCATCACACGTATACACCCGTGCCTGGATTGATTAATCCGACAATCAATCGGGTAATTAGTTGGGTTCAAACTGCAACTCTGGAGCCGACTCGAGCTTGGAAAACGTCGTTTTCGCGTTGCTAGTCAGCCAGGTTTGGGGTTGGTCGAGCCGGCTAAGATCAGCACAGTCGGTTTGGGTTTTCGGTGTTGCATTGATTAATCGGACGCGGTCTGGATCAGCTGTTGGATTTGTCATGCGAGGCATGTTTCGCACGAGCAAATTGGACGCCGTCCTGGCTGGAGAGTTGGCATCTGGTGGTGACGCATGTTACCGGAGCTCGTCCATTAGCCAGCACCGTAATTGTTGTTGTTCTGAACAACCCCAAACCTACCGCCAATCTGAAGCCTGACAAACGAAAATTTGCATACATCATAGTGTACATCTGATCAGATGCATATATGCTACGGCTTTTGCAGTCTGCACTGTTGTTGGTGCACCGGTCCCGCGGGTAGGAGATGGATGGGATGAGATCATGTTGTTTGGTAGTTGGCGAATTTTTCCAGTTGTTTGGTCATGGGATTACAGAGTCAGGGCATTTGCGGCAGAGTGAGTTCTGAAAGTTGAAGAGGGAGCAATTTGTTGGCAGGTTTGGAGTACTACTACTAGATAAAGCAGAACATTCCTCCCAAATGGATGGTGTAAGGCAGATCCATGTGCCTATTTGGCTATTTGCTCCTATCACGTATCCAGCACAAATTCCCTGACAAAACGAACAGACATAAATATAGAGAACCAATGAATTCCGATTCCGATGCTATCTTTTCTTTTCTTTGTCGTCTTTGGTGCTCATATCTTCAGACTGTTGCCCATATTTCTCAGGATTTCGCTGTTCATGAACATATCACATTTCCTGAAGACAGGCAAATACCGATTACTCCGTACATTTTTGTTGTCGGATGTTTAGCGATATTACAACCCCTGCTTGCTGCCATACCTTCTTGCTATTACATTAGCTCGGGCATTATCTATCCTTGCATGCATGACTTAAAGATCTTTTTCCCACACCAGAAGTAGGAACATATTCATGCCACGAGTTCATCATCACTCTTGGCTGAGCCATTGGAAAACTAGAAGAGCAGTGCTCCTTTTTTTTCTACTCCCGTGTCGTCCAACGATTCCATTCCTCTGGCGAAAACTATAGATTCCTTGCTGAATGGTACCGGACACAACCTTTGCACAAGTAAAAAAGAAAAAGAAAAATCACAGTACCAAATTTTTTGTGCGGTGTTCAGAGCAGGACTTTATTTGAGCTGCTTGTTCACAGCAGCGAATTGTTAACGGCCTCATGGGCTGATAATGTTTAAGATGGACTCTCTCTTTTGCGAGAAGAAGATGTAATCAACTCTTCTTTTTTGAGATCCTAGTGAAATTAGCTTTTGCTTGTGATGAATACTAGCAGTGATAAGTACGGATGTTGTGTTTTTCTTCCATTTAGCTAGGAAATAAATTGAGTGGGCGAGGGGTGCACCAACGCCTGCATGCGCTCCCCTCCCCGATGGATGCCAAGTGGAATCGATGGCATCGCACGCGCCGCATCTGGAGGTGGAGTTGTGGTTCTCGCGTCGGTTTGCCAGTCCATCGGGGAGCGGCTAACTCCAGATGTGCCTCGTGCTATGCCGTCGGGCTCCACGTGGCGTCCATGGGGGAATGGAGCGCATGCAGGCGTCGGTGCTCCCCTCGCTCACCCAATTTATTTCCGTTAGCTAGCTCCGCCCATCACGTTACGGTGCAGGCGTGGACGTTGTCGTCGTGGAAGACGGAGAGCGCGTCGTCGTCGAGGACATGCGTGAAGGCGTGGCAGGGGTAGGATCCGATCATGGGGTCGTTGTAGCCGTGGCGGTAGTACCTGTCGGTGGCCATGTACGTGTTGTCTTCCAGGTACTGGATCGCGAACGGGTAGTACTCGCCGTCGTACGGCCACGGCCAGAACTCCGCCACCCTGCCGGTCCGCCGCGCCGCGCGCAGCACCTCCCGCCGGTCCACGTACCCCGTCACCGTCACCTTCTGCCGGTCCATGTCGATCTCCACCGAGCTCACTCCTGCACTGCACAACATATACCTGTCATATTTACAGTATTTCTGATGAACGGGATCGAGGAATTATTCAGTCGTGCGTGCCTTGGAGCCGGGACATGGCCTTCCTCACTCGCTTCTCGCAGCCGTCGCAGTCCATGTGCACGTTCATCTCCACGACCTTTGGCCACAGAAAACACAAGCAAAACGTACGCCAACTGAAGCAACAGAAACTATATGTATGTACCGTCTTCTTTCTCATTCACGAATCGGTTCACTCACGGACAACGCGTTCGACGAGGTGGTGCTCCTCTGCGTCCTCCAAAAGCGCAGCATTTTTCAGGCGCCGTCCGAAACAGAGCCGCCGGCTTCAATGGGCGGCGGAGGAGAGTGCAGGGACGAAGCGTATAAATACTGCCTTCTCGGAGGCCAGGGTTCACGGTAAGTTGCACGAGAGCGACACGGATCGCATGCAGTTCGCGGATGCCAAAGAGCAGCGCCCGTCTGTTGGCCGGGGATATATGCGCCGATGCGCCACGAACAAATATTGTTCTGCTCCCGGGAAGGATCGGATATCTGTTGGCCGGGAAGGCCTCGACATGTTGGGGGAAGAACAACGTCGTATCACCGGCAGGTTCCAGATAATGGATGAGATTTTTGGCCCGGGCCCGATCGTTTTCGATCGCCAGGCTGCTGGTTGCATGTTGCCACTTGCCACACTGTGTTTCATGTCGTTTTATGGACAATCGGTCGGGAGTGACCCGGTATAGTTCCACTCGTTTGTCGCTGGGTCAACCTACATCTTGCTTGTTGAAAAAAGGAAAACTTAAATCTTGCTAAAATTGTATTAATATTAAACTAAAATAACATACCACGCATAATGAAATTGAGGAGCTATTGGAAGAACTATTTGAAGGCTATTGGGGAGCTTTTAGAGCAAATGAAATTGTCTTATGTCCTCGATATGACAGGTTATATGAGGATTAGATATGGTATTGAGGAGCTGCTCTTAGCACTATATAAGATATAAAAATCTATATCACCAACTCTAGGAGTACATGCGCGTACTCCGTATATGTTAAATGTTTATTTAAAAGGATGGACAACATGCATGAGCTAAAGCTCGATGACAATGATTTGACTAAAATCTTGTATCTTATCTTTTTTTGTTTTACTGTTGACAACACTCATGGAGATATAAGTATATAGCAAAAAACAAATATTTAGGTCGGCCTATATTAGACATAGACTTTTGAAATGGCTATGGCCCTTAAAATTGGCCTTGCAGGCAGGGGCCGGGTCGATCCATTCCCATCCCTGACCTCCATCCAAATCATAGCCACCTTCAAAGATATACAACCATTACGACCATATATTTAGCACTCTCTCCATCCACGAAAAAATGAAATTCTTGTTTTTGATAAGTCAAATAGAGTTATATAAGAATATATTAACATTCGTGATATAAAATAATTACTATTAGATTAATTAATTATTGGATATATTTTCATAGTAAATTTTATTAAAGACAAATGTTAATACTATTTATTATAATAACTTTGTTAAAGCTAGACAGTTTGATAAGCACAAAGCCTATATTTGTATTTTTTTAGACTAGCACTAGTAGCATGGTAGTCACCACCACAGAAGACATCACTCCAAGGCCAACTGGGCCATGCAGATCTCATACTCCTCTTCTTGGGTGAAGTCGCTCTTGATGTTGAACATGTTGTGAATCTCCTCCGGAGTCTTGCCCTTGATCATATCAGCCACCGTCTGGCAGGTCAAGTCCGTTAATCCCTTGATCAGCCCTTGATGTTCAGATAGTTGGCAGCATGGACGAGGTATAACTGTATAAGAGCGTAGGCAGGTCCACCTTGACGAACTCCGCGTCCCAGTTGATGAGGTCCTCCACGTCTGGGGCGGCGGAGTCAGCGGGCCTGGCGGCGGCGTAGATGTGCTTGTTGCAATACTCGATGACCTTGAAGAGGATCTTCGAATTGACGCTGGGGAGCGAGATGCCCTGTCGGCGCGGTCGTCTTGTATCATGTGGCGGATGGTCTGCGACTCCATTGCCACCACCTCCTCCACCTCGAACTCCTCGGAGTCAGAGCTCCTCAAAGTAAGCCTCTTCTTGTCAGCCTCGGAAGCCATCGATGGATCGAGAGCTGATGCGACGAAACAGAGAGCTGATGCGTCGAAACGAAACCCTAGCTACCTGCGGCGCGCGTCGGATTGAGGAAAACTGCTAATGGACGGGAGATTGGCAGCGGGCGGGCGGCCGTGTCTTTTCTCCTCTCGTCTCGGCCTCTCCTGGCCTATAAAGCCCAGGACGCCAGGAGCCGTCCGATGGTAGTCCGTATTCTTTTTTTTTTCTCGACTATGGTAGTCCGTATTCGTGCGTACGTATTGGAATTGAATTTCTTGTCACTGCTACAAAGCATGATGATCAGTATAAAGGCATTTAAGGTTAGATATGATCCAGAGTTGTAAATAAACCTTTTGCGAAATAAAACTGTCTCACAAACCATGGACACGATAGAAATAACGCTACGCACATTACAATGAGAAATTTGCATCTTCGTTTTTTTTTGCTAGACTTTAAAACGATAGCAAAATGTACGATAATAGCCCTATTTGCTTGAACTTATCAGCCAAGCCAGGTACAATATTTTTCTCTCAGAACAAATCAGCGAATAGTACTTTTCAACTTGGCTTTTCAGTAAAAAGAACATGACTCTTCAGAATCTGAATCCAGACAACCAGCAAAATGATTTCAACAAGTGATTCTATTTATAAGAGAAACGTTTCTCTAGAAAATCTGAATCTAAAACGTGCAAGACCCTACTTGAACCCCATAGCTAAATATAGATGCCCACACTAAAAATTATGCTCAAGTAGGGTCCTTACTTGAACTCTCACATTTGGTTGGGCACCCAAATTCTCCCCGGGACCCCCATTCCTGGTGGCCCAGCTTCAGGCCCCCATCTTGCTGTTGCATCTGTTTCTTCCCCGCGCTCGCACGGAAATCGTGCGTCACCCTCGCTCCATCCTCCTTCGCCGGTGGCGCACCTCCCTTTGATGCATGACAGCACCCCAGCCATCGTGTGGGCACAGGTGTGGCCATCCGCCTCCGCCGTCGTCGCGTGGGCGTGGGAGTGGCCATCCACCTCCACCGTCGTCGCGTGGGAGCGGACGTGCAGCTCCACCACGCAGGTGCGGCCGTCGGCCTCCGCCTAGCTTCACGGCACAGAAGCGGTTGTCCACCTCCGCCTAGCTTTGCCGCACAGGAGCGGCCGCCCGCCTCCGCCGCCGTCGCATGGGCACGAGCAGAACTATCTACCTCTACCCGGCTCTGCCTCTCCACATGTTGAGGAAAGAAGGGAGGAGAAAGATAAGAAAAGCTTGCCTTCAATGATATATGGACCCCATTTGTAAGTGACTATTGCCATATTTTTGTGGGCTCTGGTTTTGTGGCTTCTGTTGGAGCAGATGCAAAATAGGGGGTTGTTGATACTTAACGACTAGTGGAGGAATTTCGCAAGCGCACAAAACTATCGCGTAGCACTTCGCTCGGTAAGTACCGAGTGTCGAATTTATATTTTTCCCATAGAAAGGCGGAAGGCTAAATTTATATTTACAGTTAGGATTGCTAAAGGAAAGCCTAAGTGTATCCTAAGTGAGTGAACGATAATGGTGATTTGGGTGCACTACCTAGTCAACTACTAAATAAGCTACGCTAGAAGTAAGATAGCTAGGTGGGAGAGCGTGCAGTTTATCTTTCAGTAACAAAGGGTAAACACATGACTAGAGGAAACACGCTACTACTTCGGGGCATAACCCACCTACCAACTAGGAGAGTTAAATAGACAAGGTCTGCCATGAGCCCTACGATTTAATAACTAGACCTAACGTGGTGGAATACATATGATGGACAAGGCTGTCACCACTTGCCAACTACCATAATCTATCCGGATGCCTAGCCGTATCCACAGGTAATCTATAGCCTAAGCACCTCACTTAATCTATAGGCTTACTACTTTGATCTGAGCTCCGATGAAATGGGATCAAAGTACCCTAACCATACGGTGGAACCGGTACTAACGAAAGACTACTAATTAGAAGATAACCTACGATCTAATGCGGAGAGCAAGCACCTAAGCTCGCTAATGATGAACAATAATGAACTAGAACTTGAACTAAGCAGAGCAATAATACTAAATAAAATACTGAATAAAGTAAACGCGTAATGAAAAAATTACAAAGGAGCTATACCAGACCCAGAAGATTCTTCCGGACTCCGAGAGAAACTCCGCTCTTGCTCTACTCCACTACTAGACTACTTCTACTACTAAGCTACTAAGCTAGAGAGCTTGGAGAAAGCTTGGAGAGCTTGGAAATGAATGAGGCACTTCTCCACCGAGCACCACTGCCCCTATTTATAGTGTGGAGAGGCAGTGGGGTACTTGCAGGCAACCAGAAAGTCGGTGGGGGCACCTAGGGCGTCGGGCGGCGGCAAGGGGGCGCCGGGCGGCCCTAGGATGCACCGCCTTTGCATCCTACGACGCTGGTTGGCTCCTAATGGTGGTTGTAGAGGCAGCACATGTCAAATTCGGACAGAAGGTCGGTTCCAAGGTCGGTTGGAGGCCTCCATGTGTAGGACAATGGGCCCATGGATCCAAGGCCACTCCATCTCGTCCCTTGATGCAAAGCGATGTTGAATGGACGATTGGGAAGGCTTGTGGAGCAGCTCCCACGGATCAGTGACGTGGCAAGGCCACTTGGCATCCCGGGCGACGTCCTTGTGGGGCCAGCCGGCGTGGCATGTGGGCCCCTGACCTCCCCGCCTTGTCCACTTGCTCCCTTTGTCCATTTTTGTCACCATTTTGCACAAATTTTGCTATAATTTCAAACATGAACTGGGTGAATTATAAACAAAATGCAACACATGTGATGATGTTTTGCCCCACTTTATCATGCTTTTGGGTGAAATGTTGATGGTCAAAACAGGTGTTAGTGACCGTCAACAGGGGCCAAGAAAAGTAGGGGCGAGCACCGAAATTAGAAGTAGGGGCCCTGATTTAGGTGCTACTGCTGGAATTGCTCTTAGAATCTTTGGATCCCTACTAAATGAACCTGAAGTCCTAGGAAGCAATCAATTTGGTTGAAGAAATGTATTTGTTGGCCCGTATAAGGGAGTTTTAATCAAAAAAGATTATTGAGGTAGTCCTAAACTCATTTATACGGTAATTTTGGATAACCAACAGGTTTTGATTTCATCCTCTTAATTGAGGCCCAGTGCCATGGGACTTACTCCATTCGTTCCAAATTATAGGACGTCTGGACTTTTTAAGATATATTGCTTTTACTATGTTTCTAGATATAGTATACGTGTGTAAGTACATAGCAAAAGTTATGCATCTAAAAAAGCTAAAACGTCTTATAATTTGGAGTGAAGGGAGTACGTGGTAGACTTAATGGACTGGGCCAATTTTATGGGCTTTCTGCTGGCCCGATGAGGCTTATTTGATTTTTTTTCTTGAGGGGATATGAGGCTTATTTGATTACTTATACGTATTGGATTTAATGAAATGGGCTGATTTCATGGGCTTTCTGCTGGCCCGGCGCAACAATGCTCGCCGGGTTCTTTCCAGTCTGTCCCTTTGGTCCTGTTCGCTTCTCTTATAATCCGTCTTTTTTGACTTATTTTTTTAGCCGGAACAATGCTTTTCTCTCACAACAAATCAGCCAGAATAGTGTTGCGCAGTCCAAAAGGCTGTCAAACTTTGCTTTGCCCGTCGAACGCACGGGCCTGTGATGGATAGGGAGTTTGCTAGTGGCAGGTTGATCTTCTTGTCTATACTAGGTTTGATCGAAAAACAGGTCATAAAACCTTCGGTGGGAGTGGGAGCAGGCAGCTGGAAACATATAGATTATAGAAGCAGCCAAGCAGGACATAAAAAGAGGGCACGTATATCCTTTGACTTTGATGACCCGACCTAACCCATTCGATTGCTTTTCATTTATCTATAGGTTCTTGTTTCTTTAGTCAGAAGAAATGACATGCCTTTCGTTGCTTCGTAATGAGAACGAACGCTACTGAAGAAACGGGCAAACAGACTTGTTTACTTGCGATTTGTGTTGGGATCAACACTTTTCCCGCCACGGAGGATGTGACGAGAATCTTTTGGCCAGACGAGACAGCGGCAGCAATGGAGCTGATCCGCGTTCATGCACTCCGGACTCCGCACACGCGTCGCTGGCCCTGGCCTTGCAGTAGAGAGCCGTCAGGCGCGAGACACGCATCAAGAAGGTACTGTAATCGTCATCGTCATCTGGACCACCTCGTACGTCACCAAAAGGATCGCCACTGAGATGGCAGTCCCACCCGCAGTCCTTTTTGTTTCGCCAGCGATGGCGACTCTGCGCTCTGCGGCCAGGCGTCAGATGGTGATCCGACGCTGGAAGCTCGCATGGGGCGCCAGGTGGCCGTCCAAAATATCCAGACGCCTCGCGACTCCTGAGTCCTGACCGTGACGGCACCGGAAAAGAGTAAACTCCAGTCACATCCCGAACCAGCTCGGCAGCAACTGTACCACTGGAAGCACTGAAGTTATCCAAACTGGAAAATAACGTAGAACAACTCCGAATCTCCTGTTCATCAATCACTACGATTATTTGGAGCTGGACAAATTAAGCAATTATTAAGTAAAGAATTTACATAGCAGATCCGTGGATTGGAACTGCTCTTGCTGAGGCTGAACGAGAAATTCAGACAACGAGGAGGAGCCGCGGAGCCACTGCAGATTTACTACGACCTTTTTTCATGACTGAGAATTACAGCAAGTACGTACGTACGTACGGAGTACTACCAAACACGGTGAGGAACAGTGCTCCTCTATACCAGAGCGACGGCAGGGCGATCCGGCGCCGCAGCGTACGTGGGCTCGGTCAGGCGCGGGTGGCGACGTGGAGCGCGTGCGGCGGCGGCGGCGGCGGGAGCGGCGGCGCGGCGAAGGGGAGGCTCCGGAGCATGAGGAAGCGCATGCGGCGCGGGAAGGGCGCGCCGTGGAGCAGCTGCTCCAGCACCCGCGCCACCAGCGCCGTGTACTCCTCCAGCAGCTCCGCCACGATCGCCACCAGAATCATCTCGCTCCCCGGGCCCCGGCTGATGATTATTAATTGGTGCGCTAGCTGTGCCTCTCTGGTTGTCGTCCGCCTGCTGAGTCCTGACGAGGGAGGCGGAGATTTTGCGGCGCGGGGCTGGGAACTGTGACGGTGGTGCGGTCTGCGGTGGGAGGGAAACTGATTGGCCGCGCCGCGGGCGCCTCGGGGGGCCTTAAAAACGGTCCATGGATTGGATTCCTGGGTACGGCGGGACCGGGGATAAACGATAATTTTGGTCGCTTTGGCGTCCGGTGGGCGGCGTGGCTGGTGGTTTGCAGGTGCAGGCCATTGCCCCTGGGCCCTGGTTTCGGCTCCTCTCGGCGGAGGGAATATTGCTAGGTTCGCTGCACCGCGGGAGGTGGGCGCTCCAGCGATGGCAGGGGTGGGCACTGGGAAGGATTGAAAAATGTATTATGGCACCTTATCGGCTTATCCAACGAGCAAACGATTCACGTGTCCGTCCGTCCTCGCTCTGAACCCAACGCCAACGGGCAAACAACGCCACATCCTCGGTCCTCGCCGCCGCACGCCGCACCCATCCAACCTCGGTTCTCAGATCTCAACTCACAGGCCACTCGGTGCCCTCTGCTACTGGCCAAGCTGGTCCTGGTCCTCTACTCCTCTGCCTTCTTGGTTCTTGCACTAGTTCTTACTGCTGCAGGCGCGTGAAGGCTGAAGGCAAGTAGATGTGCGCGTCCATCTGAGCCACAGTTCGCCCTCCGGAGAAGGCAACCATGGGCCATGGCATCTTGTCGAACCGTACCGGGCCACCAGCAAATGGGGTGGGGAAAACAAAAACGAAACTATGGACTGGGGCTGCTCGGGTAGGACCACGCTGGACCAAAATATGTCCATTTGACTGACGAACTAGCCATGCCAATAATTGCCAACGACACAGAAGAGGCCTATGGCCGCACATTGTATCTAAGCTAGTCGGGCCTATCTTCGGCCCAATATGTAGTTCTGCCATTATTGCTAGGCCGTGTCTGCTCAACACAACAGCCTATCGTAACGTGCTACCAACTTCTTTTTCCTTGTTATATATTCTCCTCACTCACTAGTCACTACTGGATAACATCGGTAGGAACTCAAAGCAAGCACAACTGCTACACGATCATTTGATTCAAATGGACCCTGAACTTTGCACTCCCTGTCATTTGGCCGTTAACTCATTGATTGGATCACGGCCTGGAGGGAACAAGTGACTACAAACTTGATTTCATGGGGCGATCGTGTCAGTCTTTTGGATCGAAGTGTCCAGGACTACACCTTCGGTTTTGCAGGACTCCAGTCATATGCAGACAGCGGCGATCTATAGTTGGAATTAGTTGCCGTGCGTATATTATTTTGTAGCCAGGTAGTATATATATATATATATATATATATATGAACAAATAGTGTTGGGCCCGCCCAGGGGAAATGCTGTGTAACGTGGCGAAACTATTACCTGGCACTGGCAGCAAACAGAACCCGCGCGTGGTAATGCATGACAAATACTAGTTGTTTACTGTGGGGCAAAAGGGCAGCAGCAGATCTCGTCGTCGGTGGACTCGGATTTGCTTCAGCTTGGAGTTATTCGTGCATTCTCCTTGCTAGTTCTATCACAATTCGACGGGAAGTCTCTGGCAATGCCGATTAGCTAGGAAAAGCCTTGAGCTGAACAGCTATTGGAGTTCACTGAGGATGCGTTTGGTTGTCAGAGAATGGTGACGAGGAACCATTTCTACCATGAATACCTATGGTAATTTATATAGCTAAACCTTCACTAGGAACTATTCCTACCAGAAACAGCCCTATAATCGAACCAACCCAAAATATATTGGATGTAATCTGCCTCTCCCCACCGCTCTAATTTGTAATTTGGCGCCAAGCCACACTCTCTTGGGTCCATGACCCGCCACCCCCGAGCCTCAACTCGGCATCTGTGGCAAATGAAATTCTTGTGAGGATGTATAGTTCATCCCCCGATGATTACTAAAAAAAAAGTTGTATCACAATTCACACTTGTAGCTGGGTCATCCCAAGTAGGGATGAAAACGGATCGGATACGAACGGATATCACTCATATTATATTTGTTTTTATATTTTTGTTCGGATTCGGATTCGGACACGGATAGCGTTCGGATACATATACGAATACGGATTGACTCGGTTACGGATACGAATAATGAGTATCGAATACGGTATGAATCGGATTCGGAGAAAGTCGGATACAAATATCTATTCGGATATTGAGTAAAAGCAGCATATATATATATATATCATACGTGCGCAAACCATTACACCACTCTATGAGTCCATAATCCATCTAGATTAAGCCGAAAGACTAAAGAGTAAAGCAACAAATAAGATAAAGATACACATACATCATACATCAAACATCATATAAGCACCAATCTTCGCGGCATGAGTAGAAATAGCCAAGCACATTGCTTCATGGGTTTCATGGAGTCATGGTCATGGATTCAAGATCTACAATCCTTATATAGGCCATTTTTTCATTTTGAGAAAGTTTGAACAAAATGTAGTTCACATTTCACAAGTGTGTGACAATTTTAGAAAGTCTGTATGAGATTTAAGAATTTGTGACTAGTGTTTGATAAAACTTTCTCAAATGGGAAAATAAGCTATGTAACAATTGTATATCTTGCTGAGATGATCAAACTTGGTATTCAGAGTTTTTTCATCTGAGGTCATTTAGTGTCTCATTTGAGCAAGTTTGACCAAGTCAAATTTGGTCAAATGAAAAAACAACACTTTGACTCTAGTATTATGAACTCTAAATGACTTCAAATTGAAAAGTTTTGAATACCAAGTTTGTTCAACTCATCAAGATCTACAATTCTTGTTTTGGTCAACTTTCCATTTGAGATAGTTTGGACGGTTCAAATTTGTGATTTTTAAATTTTGATGCTTACAAACTAGTTTTCGGAACCCTAGATTGTCTCAAATTGAAAAGTTTTGAATACCAAGTTTGTTCAGCTCATCAAGATCTACAATCCTTATATAGGCTATTTTTTCATTTGAGAAAGTTTGAACAAAATGTAGTTCAAATTTCACAAGTGTGTGACATAGTTTCATAAAGTCTATGAGATTCAAGAATTTGTGACTAGTGTTTGATAAAACTTTCTCAAATGGGAAAATGAGCTATGTAACAATTGTATATCTTGCTGAGATGATCAAACTTGGTATTCAGAGTTTTTTCATCTGAGGTCATTTAGTGTCTCATTTGAGCAAGTTTGACCAAGTCAAATTTGGTCAAATGAAAAAACAACACTTTGACTCTAGTATTATGAACTCTAAATGACTTCAAATTGAAAAGTTTTGAATACCAAGTTTGTTCAACTCATCAAGATCTACAATTTTTGTTTTGGTCAACTTTCCATTTGAGATAGTTTGGATGGTTCAAATTTGTGATTTTTAAATTTCGACGTTTACAAACTAGTTTTCGGAACCCTAGATTGTCTCAAATTGAAAAGTTTTGAATACCAAATTTGTTCATCTCATCAAGATATACAATCCTTATATAGGTCATTTTTTCATTTGAGAAAGTTTGAACAAAATATAGTTCAAATTTCACAAGTGTGTGACATAGTTTCAGAAAGTCTATGAGATTCAAGAATTTATGACTAGTGTTTGATAAAACTTTCTCAAATGGGAAAATGAGCTATGTAACAATTGTAGATCTTGCTGAGATGATCAAACTTGGTATTCAGAGTTTTTTCATCTGAGGTCATTTAGTGTCTCATTTGAGCAAGTTTGACCAAGTCAAATTTGGTCAAATGAAAAAATAACACGTTGACTCTAGTATTATGAACTCTAAATGACTTCAAATTGAAAAGTTTTGAATACCAAGTTTGTTCAACTCATCAAGATCTACAATTGTTGTTTTGGTCAACTTTCCATTTGAGATAGTTTGGATGGTTCAAATTTGTGATTTTTAAATTTTGAATAAATATCCGGATAATATCCGTTTTTAAATATCCGGATATATCCGATACTTATCCGGATTATCCGATATCCGCCGGATATCGATGATATTACATCCGTATTTGATATCCGCCTAAGATATCCGTTTTAGTATCTGTATCCGAAAAAAAAACCGGATATCCGAGTAACTATCCAGATAATGTTCATATTTGTTCGGTCGAACGGACGGTCGAATAAATATCCGTACCGTTTTCATCCATAATCCCAAGCACTAGAGATAGTCAACCACAAACGTCAGAAAATCATATCCCATATCCTATATTTTTATAAAACTAAACTCCACTAGGGATTTATCTCAATATGCAAGCTATCCATATCAACAATCCACTAGAACTTGTAATTATAACCAACTAGCATATGTAATTATGATACTTATCTCTTTATCCACTAACAAGCATTTAACTGTCTACATCGATGTATCAAACCATTCACTAAAATTAATTTCAGATAGTTTTATTCATATAACTATAAATATAAATAGTATAATTTCTTTTTAAATTATCTAGAATCCCCGCAACAACGCGCGGGTATTCTCATAGTATTAATAGAAATTAAAGAGCACCGTTATATGCACGACAATACTACTACGCAATATCCAAAATTCTTCTCAGTCCACATCACGGTACAATACAAACATTGCCAAAACGAAAAAAAAAGAATGGGTAGGCAGAAGCACACAAAAGCAAGCAAGCGTATGCTCCCCATGCCTATTTATATGTCGCCGCCACCAGGAGAGATACTCCAGTCCCCAGCTACATACTCCAGCGCGCGCGGGGACCGGCTCGATCGGCTAGCACAGGGCCCGTTCGGCTCGCTGAATTTTAGCTGAAACTAGCTGAAAAATACTGTTCTGATTAAATTGTTGTGAGAGAAAAATACTGTTTTGGTTAAAAAAAAACCGAACAAACCGAATACGGGGTAAGCCGAACAGGGCCACTGTATGTGGGTATGTGGATAATCTGCTTCCACGACTAGCGGGTGGAGGGGCAGGC